GTTTTTATGTGAATATGTGAAGTATTCTTGCGCTATCAGCACCTGCACATTTGCATGTTCAGGTTTGGGGCTCCTAAACCCTAAGCCCTAAACCCTAAACCCCTAAGCCCTAAACCCTGAGTTAGCCCCCTGAACCCTAAACTCCTAAGCCCTAAACGCCATCTTCACTTCCGGGCCAGAGGCTCGCAAGCATCAGAACAGTTGAAGGGACAGAGGCTCCTCCGGCCGGTTGAGCCCGGAACTCCTAATTAGGGTTTAGGGTTTAGGGTTTAGGGAAGGTTACGCAAAAAAAGAAATGGGGGCCAATTTAAACTCAAAAGCCGGTGGAGGTTAAGCACCTCGGCACGTCTAAGTCAACGGCCGGCTTAAAGGAAGCATCCGGGGTCACCGGGCGAGAAGCGGCCAATTCTCCGCGATAGGGCATTATGATGGCCACGGAGAGGGCCTTAAACGTTCATTTCTCCGCCTCCGCCTCCTTCTCCTACACTTCGTCCTCCTCGTTTGACTCCTCCTCCTCCAGCTCGTCCTGCTACCCTTATCGTCGTCAACATCAACAGCACTAGCACCGTCGGCACGATCACCAGAACCACATAATCAGCTTCGTCACCATGCTCATCATCGCCACTACCACTGCCACCATCAGCAGCTTCTTCTCTTCCATATCGGCAGACAATCTGTGACGCTTTTCAGGTATTGGCAGTGGGAGCAGCAGAGATGCATCGAATGCCCCGCCGCGCCTTGGCTTTACTGTGCAAGGGGTGCTCTTGGATAATGGTTCCGGTGAGGGTCCCGATGTTGACCGTTTTGCTTATCAGTTCGACGGATGAAGCGGAAGCCTCTTTGCCTCAATGCAGGCCTTTGGGACCCTAAACCTACAACCCCAACAAGGACTTTATCTGCAATGGTAGCTTTACGCTGCCATTGCAAAGAGCGGGGACCTGGGCAGAAGCGCTTGAAGGCCGGCTGAGGGTTGTTTCTAGGCTTTAGACTTTGGGTGAGGCTTGCTAGGGGTTTTGGGGTTTAGGGTTTTCGGGCTAAGGGCTCTAAAGGATCTTGATTCTCATTGGGTGAAGCAAGAAGCCCCCACCGCTGGTCTTTCAAAAAGTGGGCGTGGGCCCTCCCCTTTTCTGCGCTGTCTCTGACCTCTTACCCCAAGGCGGCTCTCTTCCAGTCGCCAGCTGTCCGCCCTTAAAGCCATTCGAATGGAAACCCTGAGTTTGGGCACCACAGCCCAAACGCTAAAATCCTGAAACCCTCAGCACCATAACCCTAAGCTACACCCTCGACCACAGAATTCCCGAAGCCCTCAACAGCCTAAAGCTGGGAGGAGGGGACTACTCCATCTACTACTGCCGGGATGTGCTACGCTGTCCCGAAGGGCTTCCTGGCTCTTGTGCCATTGGTCGAACAGGCGGAAAAAGCGTGGGATTCGGGGTGCTGGAGTAGCAACCGCTCTCGAGGGTGTTAGGACTTTAGGGTTGTGACGAGGGGTTCAAGTCGTAGGAATGTCGGGTTGGGGGGGCGCGTCTTGGATTCCTTACCCTTCCTCTGGTTTTGAAGCGCAGGTCGTGCCTGTGCGGACTGTTTCAAGGGCTTTGCTGCAGCGTCAGATGGGAGCTGTCAGCCATGCGATGCACTGCAGCTGTGGCCCTTCATGCTCTTGCCGCTCGTGGTTATCGCAATTGTGCCGCTCCTTGTTTTTGCAGGCATTGTCCTCAGCAAAGCCCGGAAGGTGGCGATCAGTGTCTTCGTCGTTTGCCTCGTCTTCGGCCAGTTGGTGGTTTGTCTACAGTCGCTTGAGGCACCACTGCTGCTAAGCAACACCTTTCCCCCCTATGGAAACCCCCCCAAACCCTAAACCCTAAACCGTTTCTGGAGGCTATCTACCAGTTCGACATTCTTTGGGTGGATCCTGCGAAGGCCATCCTTCAGTCACTTTCGATCTTCAGCTTCGACATTGAGTTCTCCTGCGTGATTCCTCCGCGGAACCACTTGATGGAGTACACCATGCAGCTTTTGGCCTATCCTGTGGTGCTACTGGGGACCTTCCTCGTCTGGTCCATGGCTCGGTGCACACGGAAGCGGGTGAGTTTCATTTACTTCGTCAACTTCCATGGGATCATCCTGATTGCCCTCTTGACTGCTATGTCTCTGAGCGTCCTCCGACCGTTTCAATGTCGGGAGAACCCCAATGGCACCTCCACGATTGTGACCAAGACAGATGTTATCTGCTGGACCACCGGAGAGCATATAGCTCTGATTCTCCTGGCCTGTGTTGGTATTCTAGCCTACCCGGTTGCCATCCTTGCTGCAATCAGCTTTCTCACTTGGAAGTACCCGATTTGGCTTCGATCATCCAGTGGCCTGGAGGTGCTGGAAAAGTATAGGTTCCTCTTCGGCCGCTTCCGACCCGAACGCTACTACTACGGCCTCATGCTCTCCTTTCACAACCTTGTGGTGGCCCTTATCCCGGCAACTTTGGTGGCCGTGCCCGCTCTGCAAGTGGGCATCATGGGCATCGTAGTCTGCGTGAAGCTGACCACCCAGAGCCTCCTTTGGCCTTGGAGAGTGGATGTGGCCAACTACAATGACATGGTGCTCTCTGCTGGCCTGCTGATGCTGCTGCTCCTCGCATCCCCTTTGCTGAACCTGAATGAACAGAAGGCCATGGAGTTTGTAGCGGTCCTCCTGGCTGTCGTCATGTTCCTTCTGCCTATTGCAGCACTTCTCGCTGCATCGGCCGCAGTTTGCTTTCGGCTTCGTCCTCAAAGCAAGTACTCCATGTTCCTATGCCACCACAAGGCAGGCGCCGGGGCCCTGTGCCGCTTCATCAAGCTTATCGTGCACAAGTATGGCCGCATGAACATCTTCCTGGACTCCGACGAGCTTGACGACCTCTCCCGCATCTTCGAGATCGTCAGTTCCGACACCCGCTGCCTCGTTGCCGTGCTCACGCCTGATCTGCTGCAGCGCACCCGTGCTGCCATCTAGTTCTCGAAGCCTCCATGTTTCTGTTTTCATTTTCTCTTTTGCCCCACTTCTGTGCCTGGTCCTTTTTCTCCGGGCGCCAGGCATGTGGTGTGCAGGGGAGATGACGAGTGCGCGGAAGAGCGGCATTCCCATCATCCCGCTCTACTGCGATGGCTTCGCCTTTCCCGATGCAGACTGCATCAACAAGATCGAGTCCGTGTGGACCGAGGAGCAGCAGTACACCTTGACAAGCCACGGAATTTCCATGGAGGACATCAAGGCAGCCTCGCATGGCACCTCAAATTAGGAGGGCCACTGATGCAGTCGTAAGGCTTTTCTAAACTTCTAAGCTAGACACTTCGGGACATTGAGCCGCAATTGCGTCACAGCGTCCATGGCAGTGCTCAGTAAGAGCATGCGATTGCAGTAGAAGAACCCCAAGCCGTCAACCCTGAGGTTCTGAAGGCCGCAACCCAAGTCTATCAACCGCAGTTCTCACAGTCTAAATCCCCACAGCCGTACCGCGATACTCTACAGCCCCCTTATGCGAACCCTAAACCCTAAACCCAAAAACCATAATACCCTAAACTCCAAACCGTAAACCCGAAGCCGTAAGCCCTATCGTAGGCCGCATACATCCACATCCGCACCCTCACCTTCGTCACGCTGAAGCGATCGGATCGCCTTGAGGAGCTTCCAAAGCCGACACCTTTAAGGGTGCTATTTAGGGTTCGATGATGGGGGCCCCCTTGAAGCAAAATACCATAGGGTTCGATGATAGTGTCCCTTTAAGGGTCCAGGGTTTAGGGCCCGTTCTAGGGTTGAGGGTTGAGGTTTGGGGGCTCCTCTAAGCCTCCTGGATATGGGATCTCTATGGTACCTCAGCAAGGGAAACCACGGCGTCCGCCTCGGCCCCGTCAGCAGGAGCAGCAGCAGCAGTAGCAGCAGTAGCAGCAGTAGGATGGCAGCAGTGGTAGCTTAGCAGTGGTAGCCATTTTGACTCCGCTACTGCTCCTTCCTCAAATACGAATCCCCAGACCGGAACGGAAAGCCGGGCTCCCCGGACCAACTCTGGACCCGAAATCCTAAACCCTAAACTCTCGTCCGAAAGGAACAGGAGCGAGCTGTCCTCCGGTTGATGTCGGCTGTCTCGCCAGGCATCGGAGTGGATGCTACTATTGGTATTCGGTTTGGGGTTTAGGCTTTGGGGTTCAGCAGCTCTGACTTTGAAAGAAATTTCTTTTCAAGTCGTTCTCAAGAAAAAACCCAGTAGAATCCCCCATATTAGAAATAACACTGTTTACTTGTTTCAGTTTGAGTTCAAGAAACAAATTTAAACATATCATCAAACAATCGACCGACACCGTCTCAGTTCAAACAACGTAATTCCCAAATTCGCCACCCCACCCTCAGCCCTAAACCCCGAACCTTAAAGGCCAGAGCCTGAAACCCTGATGCCTTAAACCCTAAAGCCTTAAATCCTAAAACCCTAAACCCTAAAGCCGAAACCAAGGCCAGCCCGCAGCCCTAAACCTTGAAGCCTAAAGGCCAGCCCAAAGCCCGAGAAGCAACGAATTTTGATCAAAAGCCACGAGTTATGATCCAAAGCCATTAATGTTACTACAAGTATATAGGGTTTATGTTACTACAAGTAGAGAGGTTTAGGGTTTAGGGTCGAGGGGTTAGGAAATTGGAACCGAGAAACTAGATTTCGTGAGATTTACGGATCCGGGTGTTGGAGGTAAATAGGCTAAACTTGCTAAACCCCAAACTCTAAGTGCTAAGCCCTAAAACCCTAAAGCCCTAAAGCCCTAAAGCCCTAAACCTTTTACGCTCTAAAGCCCTATAAAACCCTAACCGAAGAGCCTTAAAAACCCTAACAAAATTGTCCTCTTCGGAGCCCTTTTGGAGGCAGCGCCAACCTGGAAGTGGCACCCCAAGGATCCATCTCCAACGCGCGGATTCTCGTTTGCTCCTCCGAGGCCGGGATGGTCTTCGTTAATTGGGCTCAGGGTTTTGGGCTTAGGGTTTTGGGTTTAGGGTTTAGGGTTTAGGGTGTAGGGCTTAGGGTGTAGGGTTTAGGGTTTGGAGTTTAGGGCCTAGGGTTTGGGGTTTCGGGTGTAGGGTTTCGGNNNNGGTTTAGGCTCCTTTCCCGCAGGTTCGGGGCTGTTTCAGTGCGTTTGTTCTAGCCTCGGTGCTTTAAATATGGTCTACAGAGACACGCCTTCGCAAAACGGTTTTCGTTGTTTGGTCCCTCTCTCGCCCTCTCACCTTCTTTGTCCCTCTAGGAGAACTACCGTTGGATGTTGTAGGTTTTCCCTAAGCCCTCAAACCCCAAACCCT